GCTAGACTGGCCGACCGCGCCCAGCGTCCGCGACAGTCAGCGGCCGGACAGCTAGACTGGCCGACCGCGCCCAGCGTCCGCGGCAGTTAGCGGCTGGATAGCTGGACGGGCCGGCGTCAGGCCGCAGCACGCGTCCACGCTGATGTTGACCACAGGGTGGGTCCTCAGCGGCGCACTCCACCCCGATAGTCCACCGGGCGAGTTTACGCGGCTGTCGTCTACCGGATGTGTCCACATTGCTGACAGCCGATGAACTTCATTCGCACATCCGATGCATAACAGAGGCACTTCCCACTTTCTCACACCGCGGTTTTCCCCACATCACCGACATACACACCCAATGCGTGCGCTGTAGCAGGTTTACCGATAACGCCCACTCCACTGTTCGCAGAGCGACGGAAGTGTTCACACAGACACCGCGGACACCACGGAGGACCGCAGCCGACGCCGGCAGGCGATGGCTGGCGCCGGCCACGAGGCGGCGTGCGTCCCGGTCGCCTGGAGCGGTGGCGGGCCGGCCGACCGCCGGTCACCGAGTGATAGATCAGGGTCACTCGCCGGTCACCGAGTGATGGATAAGATCACGAGGCGGCGCACGTCCTGGTCACCCGGCGGCAGCGGCCCGGCCACCTGCCGGTCACCGAGCGACAGATCAGGGCCACCCGCCGGTCACCGAGTGATAGATCAGGCCACGGGGCGGCGTACGTCCCGGTCACCTGGGGCGGCAGCGGATCGGCCGACCGCCGGTCACCGAGAGACAGGTCGGCATGGAAATGATTAAACTGATACCCGGGCGGACAGCGAAACACGAAAATGACAAGTTGAAGAGTGCGCAAAAATTGCATTGTACGGGGAAAATTAGGAGAACAAATTCCGACTTGGCAAAATTGGAGTGAGCACGCGCTCGTTCCCCAGTGGATATACCAAGGCCTTCGCGTGAGCTTTGGATGAGGTCGTGCGGGTGCCTTGGTTTGTTGGATGTGCCTACGTCAAACAGCGCGATGTGGTATCCCTCCAGCTATGAGAGGAAAAAAAAACTGACGACCGTGCATTGAAAAACCTGCGTGTGCTTGGAGCCGTATTTTGGACAATACTCATGTATACTTCGTGCACGCACGTGTATACTTCGTCCAGCCAAAATCGCATTAACGGTGTTCTACGCTGAGGGAAGTAGTTTTGCATTCAGTTGAAGGTGCTTCAGCTCTCCAATTTTGTTGTCTAATCACTTTGAAAGGAAATCACGTTCAATACCTGGAGAAATTACATGTTGCTTGAAAGCTGAAGGCATTTTGTCATTTTACTCTGAATCAGCTCCCGACGTAGCAAAATTAGGCGCCGCCAATGCATTACTACTCAAGCGAATGCTGGGATTTGCCCAGCGTTGTTTCTTATTTACGTTTTGAGCATGACGAACCCGACCGCCTACCGGATAAACTACATGGTCGCATGCCATGGCTTTCCCCGTCTCACCGAACACACGCACATAGACACACACACACATATATACACACACACACACACACACACACACATATATATATATATATATATATATATATATATATATATATATATATATATATATATATATGTATGTGTGTGTGTGTGTGCGTGCGTGCGTGTGTGCGTGTGTGTGTGTGTGTGTGTGTGTGTGTGTGTGTGTGTGTGTGCGTGCGTGCGTGCGTGCGTGCGTGCGTGCGTGCGTGCGTGCGTGTGTGTGTGTGTGTGTGTGTGTGTGTGTGTGTGTGTGTGTGTGTGTGTGTGTGTGTGTGTGTGTGTGTGTGTGTGTGTGTGTGTGTGTGTGTGTGTGTGTGTGTGTGTGTGTGTGTGTGTGTGTGTGTGTGTGTGCATGTATGTATACGATCCACGGATCCCTTCATGGGTTTCCTCCGCCTGAATGCCTCGTTTGCGGCCTTTGTGGCGCGCTGTTGCCCGGTTCAGCGTAGCGTTGCGTGCTCTGTGCCTTATCGTCCATTACTTCGTGGAGGTCACGCACTTTGCAAACAAAGACCGGCCGAGCGCATGCGGTTTTTGTTTGATCTATGGTCGCAATCAATGGACTAGAAACCTAGCCAGAGCACATACAAAACCAGGCTCAAAAGCGGCTCTATTTCATGTGGGTGCGTGACAAGAGCCACACCGTGACTTGATCGTCGAAGCGTATAGTTCGGGGCGCCGGTAATTGTAACGTGCGCAGCCCCACACGGAAGTGCATTGAGGCGTTTCAAGCCTTAGCTGACTTCCGGGACCAATCGTTCCTAACCGAAGGCCTGGACGCGTCGCATCGGTCTCCGGCGGCGCATGCGCAGGGCCGAGGAAGTCGAGTGCCCCTCCCCCTCAGGATCTGGTCTCTCGGCACATAGCACGGGCGTATAGAAACACTGGAGGAGCGTTCTCGCCAAAGCACTGCGAAAGACCGCAGAAACGTGTTGCCTTAGATCAATTAGTGGGTTACCGGAGCTTACAAAACAGCAACATGATTTGCTCGGCACACAGTTGTATAGAAAAGGTAACTATCAGAAGCTAAATTTAAAGGTAAAAACTAAAGCCAAAAGCTATGTGGCGGCGGGGGCGGAGGGCGGGGGGGGGGGTACGTCGATGCCTTTCATAAGTTTCCGCAGGGACAGGACCTGGTCAGATGTACGCTCCAGAATGGTGCACCTGAAGAAGGCTAATGCCATCCTTTTTTCTTACTCACGAACATCTTTTATGTCTTTTTTACGGAATGAGGGCTCTGACGAGCTAGCCAGGCGCGCTAGTATCGCCATACTCTATTTCAGCTGACGCAAAGGTCGAATAGGCTAGCTGAAGTAAGCTTTTGAAATGATCGGGACAAAAATCCTCTTCTGGCAGTGATCACGTGGCTAGTCGAATGTCTTTATGTGAGGCTCGCTGAAAACCAGTGAAAGGCACGAGAGCTCATATGAGGCCAAGTGGGGTCACCTACATGTCACGCGCTGCGCCGGTCTTTGACACCACCTCGGCAGAGTATCATGTGGTGCTGTGGTGGTGCAGGGTTAGAACGCTTGACTCTGGACCTGTCGGTCCTGATTCGAGCTCCTGCTACCGCATCCTACGTCATACTCGATAAGGGCGTCCGCCTCGAAATGGTTCTGGCAGGCGGTAAGACGTAAAGCCCCAATTATCGTTGTTATTTTGCCTCCACAGAGTGCAGGCAGTTGTGATAAAAATGGAATGGGGTGTCAACATACATTACCGTGGTACAACACAATCTTGAAGATGTACCTTGTCAGTTATCTATGCGAAGGTTGAGTATGTGTGTACTTAATTTTCCGAACTCTTCTCACAGCCGTACTTATATCGCTGACCCCGGATTGACTTCAGATGACCCCAGCTACCTTTTCTGACCTTGCGTGTGATACGGGTTATTTTTGTCGTTGAGTTTGAGGTTGTTGTACATTGTTTTCCTATGTAAAAGAAAATACTATTTCTGGTCAAAAGGGCAGAGGTTTACAAAAATCGGGTGTTTGGGTGACTATGCGCCCATATCCGGGGATTACAAACATATATATATATATATGTATATATATATATATGTATGTATGTATGTATATATATATATATATATATATATACATATATATATATATATATATACATATATGTATATACATATATATATATATATGTATATATATGTATATATATACATATATATATATATATATATATATATATATATATATATATATATATATATATATATATATATACATATATGTATGTATATTTTTAGCCAATATCAGGTGTGTGGTCTCCTTGATCTTTCTAAATTTCCAGTGTTACCCTCTGTCGCCCTCAGTGCTGTTTCCTCATCCCATGCTCATTTGTGATCGTACCCTGACCATGCACGCTCCACCACGCCTAACGTCAGTCACAGCCGGATGGTTGCCTTTTGTGCTCTTTCAGCCCGACAAACAGAGGTCGACTTGTTTTTCTTGTGTATGACTTGCCCTGTCACAACTGCAAGGAATATCGTTTTTGCAGTTCTTTGTATGATCCTTAGGTGTTGGCGGTCTGACTTTGGTAGATCTTCTCATGAGCATTGAATTCCTTCTAAAGGCTGTCCTGGTGGTAGGCGGTCCACAGATTCTCCTGATTTCCTCAGTCAAGCCATCAAGTCAAAACAGTCTAAGTTCTTCACGCGTGCGGGGGTTGGTAGTGGCTACCTTATCTACTCCGGACTTTCTCTCCAGCACAGTCATCGATGTGAACGCCTAGCAAAATCTGTGCCATTTTTGCCTTTCAGTCGCACTGGAAAAGTTTACAAAGCCAGGTACGTTCTATGCTAATCTTCACTGGCCTTAAGTGATAATTGCCTGTTGATGGGTTACGGCACCATGCATCACTTCGCATGAACAATGTCCGGCGGAAGATTCCGGGAAAACTCTGGCGGCTGAGCGCCATTGTCAACTTACTGCAACGCGGCCAACCAATGGTGCGAAGGCGCCCGAGCTTGCAGCGTCAATACCATCGCGCCCGAAATGGCATCACGCGGTGACGACACACGCAAGCGGAATGGCGTTTCTCACTGCAGTTGATCCGGCTCGATATCCTAACATCAGCTGTTCGCACCGTCATATTCAGGACATCCTCGTGTCTGCAGAGCTGATCATTCAGCTGACGATAACGGCAGTCCCCTCTGGCCCCGCTCTTTTTCATTGTACAGCGGTCTGTGCTGGCTGACCACAGGATAAACAATTCCAGCGTGACGTCGACGAGCCGTTGCCGTTTAAACGCGCACAGCATACGGCATCCTGGAAACCCATCGATGCGTGCGAGGTCATCCCTCCGGTGTCCTCGGCGGGGTCGACCTCTGGTTCAAGCGCACCTTCATGCCGCCACGCCGAGCCCCCGCGCCCTCTCCAGCGAGGCTGAACGCGCCCCTGCCGCCGCCGGCTATCTTATGGCGGAAAGGAAATCCGACCCGACGGCGTCCGCTCTGCGCAGGGGGGGGGGGGGGGGAGGGAGGGTCCGCAGCCAGGCCGCAGATTCCGCCGGTCGGCAGTGTCCGGCGCCATACCGGCAGGGGATGGACATGTGGACGCCGTTGCTGCTCGCGTTGCTGGGCGCGTCCCGGGCGTTCGGGTACGGCTATGAGGAACATTGGTTCACCACGCAGGTAAGTGCGTGCCGGTGTGTACTGGGCAGGCGGACAGGCCTCCATCCGCTGCTTTATTCACACAGGTACGCGCGTTAGGCAGACGAACGTTCTGGTCTGGTGTTGTGAACTCAGATATCTTCCAGAATTTTTATCGGCGCCATCGGAGTGGTAGGAATTAATACTGTGCACCACGTTATGCAATTGCAGGAGACCAACGGTCGTAGCGCTCTTTGGGTGTGGTACTCGGTTGCATTGACATTGTACTCGGTACTCGGTTGTAAATTGATCTTAGTCTGGAGTCTGGTTGATATTTGCATGCCTGCAGAAGAGAAGCTAGGGACCCACCGACTACTCCCGCGTGGCGTGGTGTTGATGTTTATGGATAAACAAACCTGTGGCGGCATGAACACTGTCAAACAGCACCACAAGGTTTCAGGATAGAAAAGTAATTCCAGGAATCTCAATACTGCTACTTTGCAAAGACTTCCTCAGTACCTACAGGTAGCTTACTATTTGCAGATTAAGTGCACAGTCAGTCGACCGTGAGTTAGCATCTTCAGGCGGCGTAAATCCAACCGTCTGTGGATCATCCACAGGTGGACCACTTCAGTTTCGCCAACAACGACGTCTTCAAGATGCGCTACCTGGTGAACGACAGCTGGTGGGACGGCGACGGCGGTCCCATCTTCTTCTACACCGGCAACGAGGGTGACATCGAGCTGTTCCTCGAGAACACGGTATGCCGATCGCCGGTCTCCCGACGTGAACGCGTCGGGAGGGACAGCCACGACACTTGTGCGACGGGATCGGGAGGCTGTAGGTTCGAGGCTCGTCGTCGCCCGTATTTTAATTAGCGCTGGTGCATTTAGGGGATGTTGATCTTAAATGCTGCAGAAGTGTCAGTGTTTTAAAGTGATAGATACCAGTGCTAACGCCGAAACCTGTTTGAGAATGGCGAAAACGCTTTGAAAACAACACGGCGAGGGCAAGTCCAACTCCCTATTTATTACCTACGCACGACACCTGCTACCGTGCTTTGCATCAGGACCTCATACGTCGGGTGGCGTGAGGCTTTAGGACATCACGCACCGGGTGGAGCGAGGCATCAGGACCTCACACACCGGGTGGCACGAGGTGGGGGACGTGCCACTAGCAGAAAGACCTGGACCCGCGATCATCACGCCATTTAAGTGTGACGACATTAACAGCACGCCCGCCACGGCCTTCAAAAAGGTCTTGGCCATCAACCAGAGGTAGTCATTGTCAGCTTTCATGCTTTTTCACACAACTGTCCATCATGGAATGGGAGTCTGTCGTCATGACGTAAACCACGTTGAGAGCTGCACAATCGTTGGCTAATGCGCATCGGGGTCTCCTTTTCCTGATAGTCTTATCAACGTGTTTTTTTCTTGAAGGGGGATGCAATCCATATCCGACAAGTGTGAAAACCCAGCAACTTTGCACCCTGCATGTGTATGAAACTCTGATTGTGGCACGGTGTGGACAGTGGGTATGTTGGAATGAAGATTCCTGCCAGATGGCGCACTCACGCCGCACTTGACAATGATGGTTCAGCTTGCAGTGGGAGCAGGCGGTGAGCTGGGGTGGGAAAGAAGCGACCTGCTTTGGATGCTGCTTTTTGTGTAGTGACAGAAGGTGGCGCTCTCCCACCGGCGCACTGCGCACTGTACACCGCCATTTAAACGTCCAGCTTTACACACACGCACGCACGCACGTACGCACGCACGCACGCACGCACGCACGCACGCACGCACACACACACACACACACACACACACACACACATACATACATATATATATATATATATATGTATATATATATATGTGTATATATATATATATATATATATATACATATATATATATATATATATATATATATATATATATATATATATATAGACCTGACTAAGCAATATAATGGTAATGCAATACTGAAAATATGAAAACAATGATACAATGATGCAACAATGACGTCTGTAGACAGCTTTTTCATTTGAAAAAAATGCATGGCATTGCCAACCGACAAAAAATGTTTAGGCTGCCGCAGCAGCAATCATTCCCTCCCATGTATACAGATATTCAGTAAACCCGTATGAGCGCACTGGGTGAATGCGTGCGTATGGTTAACATTTGATCGGTCATATCAATGCGGTCTAACACATTTGCACCACTGACGTAAAGCCTCCTAGACTCTTTCTTTTGCTGGAACTATGATTGAACTCTTTGTTGGGTAAAGACTAGGCATCTAGTTTAAGAAAAGTAATGATTTATTGTACAAGTTAGACCGGGAATGAGGAACTAGCAAGCTCAAAGTGGGTTCGATGTGATGTGAAATCCAAATCTTACGCCGCCAAGTTCATCATTCACGCAGACAGAGACGGAAAGGACATTGCTCGTTCGGGGCGATCCCATGCAGCTTACATGGGTGGGTGAGGTAATATCGCGGAAATTGCAGACGAAATGCTGGACCCGTTTTCATCAATGTGCATCAAGCAGGTTATAGAACACTCGCCATGTTGCCACTTTACTTTCCAGCTGCAGCCGTCAGAGGCCTGGGCGGTCACGACGGCCATCGACCGCACGCCCCTGTGTTGACCTGCGGGCTCGTCCTGCGGCGATCATGACGCGCCGCTGACCATCGCCGCCACAGGGGGCCATGTTCGACATAGCGCCGGAGTTCGGCGCGCTGGTGGTGTTCGCCGAGCACCGCTACTACGGCCAGTCGCAGCCGTACCCGAACGTCTCGCTGTCGGACCCAGCGCGCGCCGGCTTCCTGACCTCGGAGCAGGCGCTGGCCGACTACGCCGACCTGCTGACGCACCTGCGCGCCACGCTGCCGGGGGCGCAGGCCAGCCCCGTCATCACGTTCGGCGGCTCCTACGGCGGCATGCTGGCCGCCTGGTTCCGGGTCAAGTACCCGCACGTTGTCCAGGGGTGAGGGGAACGACAAGGGCTGCGCGCTGTCGCCTGGTGTGCAGGGTGTGGTCAGTGACCTCCCGGCCTGTCATTGGGTCGTGGGCTACTTCATTGGGTGTGGGCTACTTCACGGCCAGGGGTGTGGGTTTCACTAACCTCTGGCCTGCGGGCGTGCGTGCGGGTCTACCAGGACACCGATACTGGAAGGTCGGTTCCCCACTGACCTGTCCGGAAGGTCAGCGTGACGCAGACCCCTACGTCGTAAGGTCAGGAACGCTGACACCTTCCGGCGCAGGAGTCAGCATCCCGCCGACGCTCCGGTCGCAGTGTCTGAGGATGCTGGCCCTTGGTCCGGAGGTCAGTGTCACACTGACTACTGCGCAGTTGAGAGTCGTGTTCACTGCTTGGCGAAGGATGGGGATGGGACATCATCGCCCTTTTCACTGAATATTCGACACTCTAATTTCACTTTGGGCCTAGTGAGGCGGTATCCTGAGCATAGCTAAGGCTAAAGCTTAGTCGTTGGGCTGTAAGGTATGGGTCTGGTGCAGCGGGGCGTACCTCTCAGGCACTGCCTCTGGTTCTGGCCTCGCTCAATCGGCCTGGCGTGTCTCCTATGTACTCATCCTGGACCTGACCCCATTTCGAAAGTCTGGTTAGCTCAGATGTAGGCCATTAATACAGAATGGGGTCAAAGTTTGGCGACAAACACCAGGCTGGTGCAGGGTGGGCAGGGCGGGGCTGATGACCGAGTATCGATGATCGAAGGGATGATGATGGAATAGCCGAGCAGATAATCGATCCATGCCTATTAATAATGGACACTAGCGTGTCACAAAATGTGAGAACGCGATCGGAAGATTAGCTCAAAGACAGGGGGCACAATACAAGTGCATGCGTTTTTGTACATGCGTTTTACCTATTTGGCCGTTTATTCTATTTGGCCGATGGCCGTTTTGTTAACGCAGTGCACATTTGGGCCAGCGCATAGCGAAGGAAAGTACGTGAACTGTCCGTTTATCTTGCAAACGAAGAAGCGCACGAGACAGATGCAACGCCTGCACGTTGCGTGCTGTTCCCAAGACCTGTGGAAGGCTGTCCGTCCTGGCTGGTCTGTACACTGGTACCGTTTCAGGGCGATCGCGTCTTCGGCACCGATTCTGCAGTTCACGGGCATCACGCCGTGCGAGGCGTTCGGCCAGGTGGTGACGCGCACCTTCGGCAAGGAGGGTGACATGTGCCCCCGCGTCATTCGCAAGTCCTGGGACGCCATCGACCGCCTGACCGCGGACCGTACGTCATCACCCGACGCCCCTCCCCTTCCCCTCCCCGAGCACGCAGGTGACGTGCAAGGGTGTAGGAACTATGGGAAATAGATTGGAGGGGGGGGGGGGAGGGGTTCATACAATGCTGAACCCCACCCATCCCACATAGTCACCAAATGAGAAACATTAAAAAAACTTACAAAGAAGTAGGGGTGTTTTAGTAATCACCGTCTCTTTCCAGGAGTGTTTTGCTACGTTGTCCTCCCAGGGTGGTCGCGCCTATGGTGACAGACTCGCAAGACCGGTCGCTGTTCTATTGGTTAATCGACAGTGATGCAGGGTTGTGGGCAGTTTAGGTCACATAAATGCCGTGACACCTGTGCGACCTCAGGTGACGCGTGGCCTGATTTGAGGCGCCAGGCCCTACGCCCCTGCGTGCATGAGTAGGGCGCAACGCTCACGAAAACATAGCACGCTTGTAAAGCTTGGTTGACAATTTTTACTGTAATATGGCCAGGTTTGTGAGACTGTTTTTGCCAGAGAGTGTGACCATCTACCCCCGGCCCATCGCTCCCCACGCGATGCGCCAGGGACAGTGCCGCACCTACCGCGTGACGTCAGACCGCGGCCATGACGTCAGACCGCGTCTGTGTGGTCAGCGTGCCCATGCCGGGGCGTTCCCGCCCGTCTCTGGTCGTGCTGCCCGTGGCACCGGGCGTCATCTGGTGTCCGCCGTCCGGCCGCCGCCTGCCCCGTCCCCAGATGGGACCCATTATGTGCCGGTGCCGGGTGTGGCGTGCCGCCGCGAGCAGCCGGCTCCGGTTGGGCCTGCCTCGAGCTGGCCGTGGCGGAGCGCCGGCCCTGGGGACATGGCGGGTACCCCATGTCTCCCAGGAGCAGCGCGAGCCAGCGTTTAAACACTCACCTCGGCGTAGCGACAAGGAGGGGTGAGACCGGGCGTGTCGTATGTCGGGACCAGTGGGACACTGACCCAGGGCCGGTGGGCGTCTGACCACCCACCGAAGTGCGATGGCGGCACTTGGAAACCACGCTGCAGGACGTCAGCCGAACCTGTAGCGGACGCGGTGCGCTCTGATGTGCGTCATCTCCACCCTTCGTCTGGCGCCCTCCACAGAGGAGGGCATGGACTGGCTGAGCGACGCCTGGAACCTGTGTAGTCCGCTGAACAGCTCCCAGCTGACGGACTTCAAACAGTGGCTTAACGACATGTACACCAACTTCGCCATGATCGACTACCCGTACCCGGCCAGCTTTCTCTCCCCGCTGCCCGGCTACCCCGTCAAGGTATTGGTTGCACATGAATCCGATGTATTTGTATAGGGTTTAGATTGCTGATGAGCAGAGCTCGACTTCGATTGTATGGAATACCTGGTAACGAATGTGGTGGCTATATCTTGTTCGGGTCGCTCGGTGAAATTTGCTACCCCTCAACCTAGTTTTGTGACATGAAATGCGAATATTTGAAAAAGATGCTTGTGCTGCTGAAAGTGCCAGTCGATGCAGAAACGGTACATGTGTCGTGCGGAGGACGGCCACCCGTGGCGGCTGTCCCGCCTGACTCACCGTCACGCTGGGTCCAGTCCTGCCGGCTTGAGCCCTGGGTTCCGATTACAAAAACATTCACCGATGGGACTACCACATGCACGAGCTCCATTTCACAATGGTAGTGGGCTTGGTCTTAGACTTAACATGTGGGCAAAAACCGACGTGGTCTGCCCGAGGCTAACGACCTTCCCTTGGAAGTGCGATCACCAATGACGCGCGCGCGTCACTCTGTTTCATCGTGGCGTCACGTTTGCTATCGGGCGTGGCGGAATGGCCACTAACTAACGCGCACCTCCTGCGCCGCTCAGGTGGCTTGCTCGTACCTGCACGACGACCACGGGAACGACGACCGCGCGCTGCTCACCAACATCTACGACGTCATCAATCTGTACTTCAACTACACCGGCGCCGCCGACTGCGTGGATACCGGCAGCCAGGGCACGTCGTCCCTGGGCGACGACGGCTGGGACTTCCAGGTGAGCGGCCGATGGCAGCCAGCTGCTGGAGCGGCTTCCTCTCGACCCGTCAGCTCCCCGCGGCCCGCGGTCGCCGCGGGTCGGACTCGCTGACAGCTACGCGACTGTCCCGAGCAGGTGACCGCTGCCAGGTGCTGGCGCCACCTGGCGCGCCAGTCGCCACTTTCGCCCGAGCGTCTCATTGTCGCATCAGCTCGCGCGCGTCACATGCGTCCTGGAACTCGTTGTCGCGTCGTCGGACGGACTCCCACGTCCCGTAACCATCTGGACACGTACTAGAGGCCCGTCAAGTTTCCCCGATACCGAATAAAGGACTGTCGCTGCAGACTGTGCCCCCAGCCGACCCTCTCCCTCACGAGCCACAGCACCATCCCTCCCCGGCACGTGACCCCCTGCGCTTGACCTCTGGCCTCCGCCGCTATCTGCCTCGCGTGATCCCGTCAGCTCTCCCTCTTGCCGCCCCCCCCCCCCCCCCCCCCAGCACGCAACCCGCGCCCTTCTGCCACAGGCCTGCACGGAGATGGTGATGCCCATGTGCTACGACGGCGTGGCGGACATGTTCGCACCATCGCCGTGGAACCTGGCCGAGTACACGGCTGCCTGCCGCGCGCGTCACAACGTGCAGCCACGCCCGCTGATGGCGCCGCTGCTGTATGGCGGCCTCAATATCACCGGCAGCAGCAACATCGTGTTCGCCAACGGCCTGCTTGACCCGTGGTCGTCGGGAGGTGTGCTGCGCTCCCTCTCGGACTCGCTCGTGGCCGTCATCATCCCGAACGTAAGTGGCCGGCCGGGGTGACCTCGGGCCGGCTGGGTGGCCTCAGACTGTCCGGGGTGGCCTCGGGCAGGTCAGGTGACCGTGCCCTCAGGGCAAGCGCATGCGACGGATGTGTTGCCGCGTTATCTGCTTCACGCACATTGTCAAATAACCACAGCACCGGCTGAGCTGCCTGTCACGTGACCCTGCTTTGCGACGTGCAACGCCGCGCTGCAACGCTGTCAAGGGGTCGCGTCACACAAGCGGGTTCGATGGCCGTTGACAGCACGCTGTGGGATGCAACCCGGGTGTCCCTGTCCCGTGTCCGCCCTGGTGAGGGCCCGCCTGACCCGGCCGGGCGTCCGCGTGGCAGGGAGCTCATCACCTGGACCTGCGCGGCTCGAACCCGGCCGACCCGCCAGACGTCATCGAGGCGCGCCGCGTGCAACGCGAGTTCATCGGCGTCTGGATCAAGCAGTACGAGAAGGTCAAGGACCGCAACGCCTTCAATGCCGCCAAGAAGCGGTGGTGAGGCGGCGGTACAGGGAGAGGAGCTGTCGCACGCGCGTTTATAGACCTCACTGTACGTAAGGATGGGCGAGCGCTCTCTGTGTGACGGAGGAGGCCAGCACTTGGGCTTTTTGCGGTGCCAAATACCAATTCTTGAAAAGGATGTCAGGGCACCAATGTACGCTCCGTACTGACGAGTGTGGTGTCGGCCGAATGATAAACGCTTTTTAATGGCGACATGCACTGTTCCGAGAGTACACACAAGAGCTGACTGCCGATTGGTCTGGTTTATAAACCACAGGAGTCTTGCGTGTCGCACACAGCACGTCAGCGCTAACATAGCGGAGATCAACGCCCTGCATCATAGAGCCGGCTGTCAGCGTGACGAGGACAGACGGCCCCGGGGGCGCATATTGCGTCACAACTACTCCACGCGAGCCCAGGTCGCCAGCCGGCCTGCGCACAGCACGCAGCAGCGTTCACCACGACCCACAGCACTGAGAAACAACAGCAGGCGTCCGTGGCTTCAGGCCGCTGCGTCGGCGCTCAGCATTGGGTAACACATTGCGTCACCTAATGATACGCTCGCCCGCCGCGCCGTCATCGGCAGCAGCGCCGGATGTCGGCACACTCCATTCGGTCGCCACTGACAGCGCACAGGCGGCATCCGTAGGCGGGATCGACGTCATCACACGGCGCACCGACGAGTGACGCGACACGGCGTGCTGCCTGGGTCAGGTTGGAGGGGTGCGACCGAGGCATTCCACGACCGTGCGGAGGGACGCTGGAGAGAGTGCCCCGGTGAGGCTCAGCGGGGAGATCGTGGCGAGGAATACTGGAGAGTGCCTTGGTGAGGCTCAGCAGGGAGATCGTGGGGAGGGACAGGGATACCAGGAGAGTGCCCTGATCAGGATCAGCGGGAAGGTTCGCCACAAGTATTGATTATGGCGAGAGCCACTGCCACGGTGCATTCACGCAACACGCAGCAACACACAATGGACGAAAATAATACATCCAAAACATGGACAGCCTCAACAAACGTCCGCGGGAAGACCAACGCTACGCGAGGATATCGAGCAGCGGCGGATCTCGACTCCGTGACTTCGTCCCAAAACTCAGAACGAGGTAGTTCACCAATCATAATGGTGTCTCAACCTTCCGAAACCTCGTAGACTTCGTATCAAATCCACGGAGGTGCTAGAAGCGCATCACCGCGGCGAACCAACAGCTTGCGTGGCCAAATGTACCACACACATCGTAACACCAATGCCATTATGACAATGAAGCAAAAGCTAACATGACTAAAAATATCATGCAAGTGCTGCGACAGCCTGACTTTCGATCCCTCCAATGTTTACCCAGTTCCATACCTTATTGCAGTGACCCGGGGCCTGCCAAGCTCGTTACAGGTGCTGGTATACAGAGGGCACTGACGCGGGGGAGGGGGGGGGGGGGGGGCACTACCACCGGCCGACAGGGACCAGCCCGGTGATGAGGTCCGCGTCCACTGTGGCAATATGGTTGTTCCAATAACTGGAACCCGAGGTGCACACGTCAGCCATACCAGAACGGCATTTGAACCGCAAGCAGCTGTTGCTCCGGCTGACAAACCATCGTGAGGTTGCCATCCCGACCCTGAGGCCGCGGCATGGCCAACCCTCGACGGCGGCATCAGTTCGTGACGTAATGCTGGGCACGCCACGGCATGTCACGACACGGATCACGAAGCTGGGCTGTGTCACACGCGGAGCAAATCACGACTGGTGTCACAACTGTTTCCTCCATCATGTTTCATGACGTCGCATAAGCGACTGTCGTGTCGCGAGCCGATGTGTCGTGACCCGACGAACCGCGACCTTGGGCCATGTAATGACATGTTTCGTGACACCGGACCATATCACACGTCCCGTACCGCTGACCGGTCACGACAGGCTTCGCAACACTCAACGCGCCGCACATGTAGTGGCGCTGTTCTTTTTCTCGTGCCTCGAAGCGCCAGCCTAGGTTTCGTGACGCTGGGCTACGTCACGACAGGTTTCGTGGCGTTGGGCTATGTCACGACAGGTTTCGTGACGCTGGGCGTGTGCCAAGTTCCGTAACGCCGGGCTGTGTCACGACAGCTTTCGTGACTCTGGGCTGTGTCACGATAGGTTTCGTGACTCTGGGCTGTGTCACGACGGGTCCCTGATGCTGGGCTGTCACGACACGTTTCTGACACGCCGCCCCGGCTGCTGGCACCGTTCACCGTGGTCTTTGACCAGGTGACTCTGTAGACCAGACGGGGCAGTGTGAAAGATGGAGCGGGCACCCGTACGGCGGCGAGGCGATCAGCGAAGCGGGTGGTCGGCCACCCTCTCCAGTGCCCACATCAGATGACGCACACAATGAACAGCTGGATGGAAGTGGTCATGGGGACCGGCATGTGAGGCAGAGCCGAGAACTAAAGCATCTCGATATCATGCAAGCTTCGCGCTAATAGTAGTAATGCAGCCACTCATTACAGATGCGAACCATCTCTGTGGCACCGGACCCACGGGGAGCCAAGGCAGCAGCCATGACTTCCCTTTTCACCTACAATGGCTTTTATCTCGTCGAAGGGCATGAAATGGCCTTCCATGGTATCCACAGTGAAAATATTTTAAAAGGGTCCCTCTCCAGCCCAACAATACACATTTTCCACCATTTGGTTCTCTGCATTCATGCTAGAATACGGGAAACCGAAATACCCCTTCCCCGCACATGAAGTCATCCCCCAAAACGACCACATTCCCATGAGCTGTCCAGGCCGCGGTTCACTGATCACAACACCACGATATCCACGCCGCCCCGGTGAGCGAGGTCCCCACGCCACATCTCTCGGCCCGGGCCGCGTCCACGTCTCCTGCGATGATCGTCGGCGCGACACCCTCCCCGTTGGGAGAGGAGCCCTTACCTTGAGACGATCGGCCCGGTGAAACTGGCGACTGCAGCAGTGGCAGACGAACCGGCGTTCGCCAGAGTGCAGCTGAAACAGCCCCGAGCATCAGGAATGCTGCAGCCGGATGGCGGCCGCGACGCTGACTTGCGACCGCGAAACGGCAGGTTCGCGCCCCACCGCGAGAAAATTTTCATGCTTCCGCTGACGTCAGCGCGGAGGACCGCAAGGCTTCTAAGCTCAGCTCCAGCGATGCTGACACATAAACCGTACTACACTGTTTGAACGCGGTGCAACGTATTGCTGAACCACGCGATACAGGATCTATGCGCTGAGTGGGCTACAGCAAACTGGGCACGAACCTGGCACAGCTGAACACATCAGACCTGTCTGAACTGCTGTCCAGATTGGCGATCGCACATTAGCCCTTTCCAGAGGCCCACATCCACGGCACTCTCTCTCGAGCGCGCCCGGACGCGCCCCATGAGCAGCGCCGTCGGCGCGCGTGGAGCGCACCTTCAGGTGGGTGTGCAGGTTACTGCTGGAGCTGAACGAACGGCCGCAATGGCGGCAGACGGGGCGCGGGGCCCTCTCCTGGTGCAGCCGCTGGTGGACCTTCAGGTAGTCGGCCCGGGTGAACGACTTGCCGCACATCTGAGGCAGCACGCGCACGTGTCGAAACGAGCCCTGCGGCGCTGACCAACACAACATCAACTGAGGCGAACGCGAGACTGCGGGCACAGATTCGTGGCTGAATACTCGGTATTGCTCGGTTGAATACGGCACTGGTTGTACAACAGTCCAGCGTCATGTGTATGTGCGGGGCCGATTCGCACTCCCTCTATGGCCTCTGCGGCCAAATCGACCCACAGAGGCCGAGTTGTTCCTGTATATAACAATTACACGCAGCAGCCACAAAACACCGACGGTTGCTACTGCATCCCGGTTTTGAGTGTGGGACACGAGAGAGCAGCAACAATTCTCACACCACCGGCATCTCTCATTGATGACACTTCCCCCACCTCTAGCGGAAACATTATGCACATCAACTGGAGTGGACGAACCGCCTACGAAACCTTCAAAAGTGCACCTGAAAGTCTCAAGATACCCGGCGGCGCGCGGCTCTCGCGGGCAACTACGGAGCAGGCAGCGACGCACGACGTGCCACGACGTTGGCCCTGACCTCACAGGTGGAGGCTCGGCTCCGCTGGTGGGTGTCCAGGTGGCGCCAGAAGGCCTGCAGCGTCCCCAGCTGAAGGCCGCACAGTCGGCACAGCAGCGTCCGCTCCACGCCGTGCGACGACCGCACGTGTTCCGTGAAGCCGTGGAACGACGACAGCGTCTGAGGGCGAACCGGACGTGGCAGCCCACTTCGAACCATGTAACACGACTCTCGACTGCTGATCCCGACGTAAACCGCGGCAACCGACTCTGAACCGCGGCAATCGACTCTGAACCACGGCAACCGACTCTGAACTGTGTGATCTGAATCTGAATCTGAACCTGCTGAACCCGACTCTGAACTGCTGAACGCGACTCTGAAAACGCTGAACACAAATCTGAACCGTGTAACTCGACACTTACTTAAACGAGTTAGACGACTGGGACGGGTGGGTGTCATGTCCCAGGATATCTGGCATCATGCAATGCTTCCCATAATATCTGGCACCATGCAATGCTTCCAGGAAGCCAACGCAAAGCTACCCATGGTAAGGAAGCTTTTGACAGGCTTCCAAGCCAGATTCGCAGCCCAACACATGTCCGGCAAAGCCAATCGTAAGGCGGCCGGCCCACGCTGTGGAAAGACACACCTCTGTGCACAGTGTGCAGCGGTAGTTTTTGCCGTGAACGTTCTTCAGATGCGCGTCAAGCGTGGCCTTGGCGGCGAACGAATCCTGGCAGAAGCAGCACGGGTAGCTGGGCCGCCTAGCAGCGACCGTCTCCGCTGCGCCGTCCGTAGCCGCCGCAGCTGCGTCGGCGGCCTGAAGAGGATGCGACCGTCAAATGCACAGGCGGCAGCTGCGCAGGGAAGCGGGCCACGTTACATAGGCCGACGACACAGCTTTGTCGGCCTCTCCTGACTTAACCCCGACCGGCATGATGCTATGTAAAAGTTAGAGATTATCGAGTTGCGTTCCCCCATAACAAACGTGAGTTAACCGTGATGATTTAGGGCACATGCCTAAAAGTGCAGAAAACTGCTCTAAAATTGGAGCCCGCCGATTCAGAAACAGCCACATGTGCCAGGCATTACAGCTCTCTTGTTGAGCACCTCCAGGGATCACGCCAGGAATCACGTGACAACAAGGAGCCAAAAGCCTAACGGACCCACGAGCATGCTGGGGGCAGGATCTGCGTTGCTTCCCACTGTCGCAGCGCCTGGCTCACGGCTGGCGCGGCGCTCGGCTCACGGCTCACGGCTGGCGCAGCGCCTGGCTCATGGCTCACGGCTGTCGCAGCGCCTGGCTCACGGCTAGCGAGGCGCTCGGCTCACGGCTCGCGGCTGGCGCAGCGCCTGGCTGACGGCTGGCGCGGCGCCTGGCTGACGGCTCACGGTTGGCGCAGCGCCTGGCTCACGGCTCACGGCTGGCGCGGTGCCCGGCTCACGGCTCGCGGCTGGCGCAGCGCCTGGCTCACGGCTCACGGCTGGCGCAGCGCCTGGCTCACGGCCCACGGTTGGCGCAGCGCCGCTGCTCACCTGGTCTGGGGCACCGGGCGGACGTCGGCTCGCTCCAGGCCTCCGGACCAGCCGGACCACGTGCGGCGACCCTGGCTGCTGTTGGCCGGTGGCCGCCGGGCGCGGCGGAGTCAGCGGGTCTGGCCGCAGCGGCGAGGTCGCGGCGGCCCGAGGCGTCAGGGCTTCAGTCACCGCCACCGGGACCTCCCGCATCGTCTCAAGAGCGGTATGGGGTGCAGTCCGGGCGGCCACGACGGCAGCGGCCGACGCGGTACGCATGGGCACAGCGGCCTCCGGTGCGTCTACCGGCGCGGTCGCACTCGAGTCACGTGACGCCGACCCCGGCGTCGTCACATCACGCGCTGGCGACATCCCAGGAGCCGAGCCCCGCCCGGTGGCAGCCAACGGCTGCGCTGTCAGAGCCAGCCCCGCGGAGACACCAGAGCCTCGCCGGCCGCCGCTCTCCTTGGCAGCCCCGCTTGGGGCCAGCGCGTCGCCATCGCCCGCCGCGGCGACCGTGTTTAAGCCGACCCCAGTCGAGCTCACGGCTTTTGGGGCCGAGGCCAAGGGCAGGGCGGGGGCAGTGCCACCGACGGCAGTGGCCGGGGCGGGCAGGAACGACGGAGAGGCCTCCGCCGGGGCCAGCACCGTCACCAGGTGTGACCCGGCGTCGCGACGGGGGGACGAGACGGATGGAGCGCCGACGGCGCACGCGCGCCCTGGGAGCGGAGTCGACTCCGGCCCCGGCGGCAGCTGCGGAGCAGACGGTACGTCAGATGAGCGAGGCGATGAGAGCACGCGTATGCACGCGTTGGTGAACAATGTCGAACAAGGGGGAACACGCACCACTTAGTGATCATTGGGCCAGGACGGATGGTACGATGTCAAACTGACGGATGTTTTCCATGATTATCCGTGCTCTCAACGTAAACAATGTCCCATGTGTGCAACAGCTTTCCTGGTTGCTCACTATGTTCATGCTCACCTGATTTGATGCCTCTCAGTACTGCACAACTTCAATGGCCTGCTTGTTGCTTACCTACATATCAAAGCTTCTGCTTGCATCATGCTGCAGGAATGAGGCCTGGTGGCCAAAATGGTGCAGCGCCACTGTTATGGACAGCAGCCATAACAAAAGGCTTATGATGGTTAATAATAGACCCACCCTTTCTTCTGGTGGCATACAATATATCCTCTGTGCTGCCAGTCAATGCCATCTCGACTGCTGTCCCTGTCCCTGTCCCGGTCCCTGTTCTGTGACAGCCAAGCCACTGACCTCTGCTGAAGACCACATGGACCGCTGCTGTCCGTCACCGGTGGCAGGACATGGCGGGTCCACTGCTCCCTCCGGCAAAATGCCCTCCAGCATGGTCAGCAGCCGCTGGCCGCGGAACGCAGAGCACACATCAGGTGTCCATCACAACAGGGGAGAGAAGTTGAAGGCGGCTGCTGCCCTGAACATGTTGAAACCATGTTGTGAGTCATTTCTTGGGAATGTGTTTGGATACCAACAGCACAAATACTATGATATAATTCATGGGTGTGCATGAATCCTATCCTGACCTTAAAACAAAATAACAGGGTTTATTTGAATGATAAATGACAGCAAGAGTAGCATGACATTACCACATAACCACCCAATCAAAGTGCACATCAGCGTAGCCTTATAAATTACCACCAGATCATGCTAAAAGGCATAATAAAAACTGCAGTACCTGAATGTCTTCCAGGAAATTTTCATAGATTATGAGAACTCTGTGTTTGCGCTCAACATCAAAGTCAGGAACAAGGAGCTGCAGCTCATACTGGGCTAAAACTCCACATTCTGAGAGCTGAAATGCAATGCCAATGAATCATTCATATTTTTAATGAACACTGATAGTTGCCAAAACATAACACTTCCAGGAGCAATTCTACTGAGGTGGGTTATGCAGACTGACATTTCCATACAAATTGTGAAAAGCAGTGCTTAGCAAAATTAGCAACATCATGCTATAAAAATGACGAAACAGCTTCGAACAGATACGGAAAAGCTCACAAAATGGAATTAAAAGTACAAAGCATCCAACTGGTATTATTAGGTCTACAAGTGCAGCTACCAGTTGCATTGCATTCAGCTTCGCTAATCTTAGGCTTACGGCACGTACCCCGCTGAAAAAGGTGTCAATCTTCTCTGCTGAGGAGGCTATAAAGTCCAATGTTGATATCATGGTGGTGGTGCATTGGTTGTGGGTTATTTCTATCAAGGAACCTCTTTTGCACTGTCTACCACTAGGTGGCGGGCGCCTGCCCGCCCGGCCATGCGGCGGCAAGGTGCACCCGAGCAAGCGCGGACGCTGCTAGCGACCGGCCGGTTGACACTTGCCAAGTCCGAAAACGGACCTCCCTGTAATTGCCCCCCCCCCCCTCCTTCCCAAATCTGGTGTAAACGTAGCACGTGTGCACTTGTGGTTGAAAAGCAGAGCTGTAGCGACGAGAGACCAGAGCTGTAACAGAGCTGTAACATCGCTTTCGGGACTATTCGCATGCATTATGAGGCGCCACTTCGGCTGGATTGCTACGGCTGAAGTCCAGTACGGGCCTCCCTGCAGGCGAGATGCCAAAACGGCCAAAATGGCACAAACATGGCGCGTGTGCACGCATGTAGCACATGGATGATTTTGTCCACCATCCTATCGCCTTGGTGATTGAAAATGCCATTGTAAAAGCAGCTTCGGTAGTAGTATTAGTTACCGATTGCCCCAATCGAGAAATGCATGGGTCTCAAGTCTTGTCTTGTCGAGTCCTGTCTCCTCAACCTTCTCCCACACCATGGCTGGGGGTGGGAGAAGGTTGAGGAGTCCAGGAACCCCTTGGGAGTAGCTCTTTTCGGAACCGTGAAATCTAAAAAATGGCCATACTGAATAAGAACCGAAATATTGCCAAATACAAATTATGACATTGCCGTATCAGCGTCCAGCAGTCCAAGAAGCCCTCTCTGGTAAACTCGTGGACCCCCTCTGGCCGCTCAGTCGGGACATGCGGTTAAGTCACGCGTCAGATGTCGCGCCAGGTAGTGGTCCAGAATCGCCCAAGACAAGAGGTCATTGTAGGTCAAGTCGATCGGATTTGCCATCGAAAATTAGCTTCCGTGCGTGTCCCCGTTCGCTAACGACAGTATCATGGCAGGGCAATGCGAATACACCTTCAAACATACTTATGTCTCAAAAACATTGCCACACCGAGTGCTCATATGCATCATACATGTTTTCGCGATTGACGGTGACAAGGTATTTAGGTGACTCTTTCGGTGAAAATGACAGCATACCGTGCAACTTTCTGTTTCTTGTGAAGATTGTCTAGACTCCGGAATATCTGGCCGAATTATGACCAGAGTGGCATAACGGGAAAGCTTTGGCACCCACAGATCGGAGCGCAAAGGTGTAGATTCATGTAATGTTACGCTCAGGAAATATGTGGTGAAAAGTAATATCCCTTCTGCATATGTGTTGTACGTATGTTTAAGTTCCTACGCTCGCTGTATGTCTTAACCATCGCCCTGATTCGCCGTTTCGCATAACTCGGACTGGGGGAGAGAGGGGGTTGATGCGACCCTCTCAGGGCGTTTCCAAGCTTATAAAGATAAAGCTTGCCAAGAAGAGCAGCATACTGTTCTGAACACGATCTCACGGTTTGTACTAGTTGTTATGTTGTGACAAGTCAAAGGTCGAATTTTACAGAGAACTGCACTTTGTAGCTTTATTTTATGTTGACGAGAACAAGCCTTGCAGTGACACGAACCTTAAATTGGTGTGTGTCTTGTTGAACTCTGAGTGCATGCTGTAGTGCAATTCTCTTGCCGCCCACCGTCTGAGCCAGCCATAGATCGCCGTCGAGCGCTCATCACAAACTGTCGCTGCTCCGAAACCAGCAAATCTAGGAAAACATTTTGGTATCAAAACATGTGTCATAATCACTGCCTATCATGGCGAGGGTAAAACGTTATGTTATTGCTGCGTTGGGTATCGGCAATGATTTTCCGTGAAACGATATTCCTCATCTTGCTAATAACTGAAGCCATAGCGGGCAAAACAGGAAAAAACAATGCTTGCTTCATTCCATAATTACTTGCTCCTAGCTTGACCTCACGCTGACCCCGTCCCAATAGACCAAGTCTCTCGCAACAAGTTGCGCTCTGTCCATGGGCTGGCGCCGAAAGGTTCCGATGCTCGCGAAAATTTCCCCGTCCGAACAACGAGAACATCTTCGTTGACGCGCCAGACTGTCCGCACGCGTTTGGCGGCAGGCGGGTTGGTACGAATGAAAATGGCGCGAACGGTAAGATGATTGACAAAGGCACCCGATGGCTGTTGTCGCGTAAGACGAACTGCAGTGGATGCATAAGACCGAAGGAAATATGACAAAGATACGGGTATGCAATTTAAATGCGATCATAATAGCTTTCAATATGTTCAGCTCCTTTCATCATCTCGCTGAGTCTTTGATAATGGAAATAGGAACACACAGTGCGATTACGGCAAGCCCAGTGTGTGCGGAACGCTTCAAATGCTCTTGGAGCGGGAGATGCAAAAGTGTAGGCGTTAGGTGACAAGTAGGCGATCGCGTATAGCGATACCGAGACAAATGTCAGAACATCATGTTATTGTCGGTATCTAGCGGATTATTGGCCAGTGGGCAGTAGGGCGGCGGCAGCTTCTGCCATTTAATTTGACTTGCGCCATTTCAGGCGGAGGCAAGTTTTCTCTGAGGCATGCCTCGGTGAAGATGACAGCATACCGTGCATTTCTGTTTCTTCTCACATTTTTCTAGTCTCCGTCGTGTCTTGCCTAGTTGTAAACGGAGTTATATAACGGGGTATATGTGCTACTAGAATTAGGGTGCGAATGTGTAAATCAATATCACGTAGTGCTTAGAAATATGTGGCTGATGGTGATGTCCCTTCTGCATGTGTTTTGTCGCACACATGTGTAAGTACCTACTCTCGCTGTCTTACATAATATTTTATCGCTGCTTTTGATATCGATAGTGATGTTTCGTGAAAAGATGATCCCTATTTTGCGAACAATTGCAACCATGTGAGGCAAAAATTTTTGCTTACTTCCATATTTGCTTGCTCCTTGTGTCATCTCATACTGAGCCCGCCTCCGAAAACCAACTCCCATGCGACAAGTCGTGATCTATCTGGGGTTCGGTGCAGGACGACTACGGCGCGCGAGAAACTCAAAGCGGGAAACGTTCCCGTCGGACCAATTATGAATGGCATAAGAACATTTTCATCCACGCGCCAAACTTCACGCGCTGGTCAACAGGTAGGCTGGCACGAACGAAAATGGCTCGAACGATCAGCTGATCGGCCAAGGCAGCCGATGGCCGTAAACGCGTAAGTCAGAAATCAGTGAACCGTGCTCCGCATGAGGCCAAGGGAATTATAACCACGACACACACACACACACACACACACACACACACACACACACACACACACACACACACACACACACACACACACACACACACACACACACACACACACACACACACACACACACACACACACACACACACACACACACACACACACACACACACACACACACACACACACACACACACATACACATACACACACACACACACGCACACACACACACACACACACACATACACACACACACACACACACACACACACACACACACACACACACACACACACACACACACACGCACACACACACACACGTACATATATATATATATATATATATATATATATATATATATATATATATATATAATGAATGTGGTAACAAACGTTTTTAATATGCACGTAGTGATATTATAGCAAGATATATAGCAAAGATATATAGCAAGATATATAGTGATATATAGCAATACAATATATATAGCAAGATATATAGTGATATTATAGCAAGATATATAGCAAAGATATATAGCAAGATATATAGTGATATATAGCAATACAATATATATAGCAATACAATATATATAGCAAGATATATAGTGATATTATAGCAAGATATATAGCAAGAAATAGCAAAATATATATATATATATATATATATATATATATATAATGAATGTGGTAACAAACGTTTTTAATATGCGCAATTCGTCTCATTGCTTTGTTACGTAATTGGTAACGGAGGTGGGAACACCGCGTGCTCGGGGCAAGGGCAGCAGAGAACACTTTCAACGGTGCTTATTGCAAATGCCCTTGAAACGGGATGAGCGATGCAGTATGCAATAGGCGCCTAGTAGTGGGCCGTATGTAGCAACACAGCGTGCGAACCTCTCCGCGTGCGTACCTGAACCGCTGGTGGGTACCTGTTGACTTGAGGGAAACATGCGCTCAGAGCCTGCGTGGGGATAGTTTAGAGGTAGCATGGCCCAGTGCACATGTTTGGTGCGAAGGAGGCGTCAGCTACATAGGATGTACGAACAACACTTTTCGGAACATAGAGTTGGGTTTTGCAGTCATAAACACAGCACGGTATATATTCAGACAAACACCAAAGTGATACAACTAGGGCTTACGCGAGGAGCTGAATGACAAATTAGGAAGAAATAACGGGCTAAGCTTTGAGGCGATGAGGCGATGAGGTGCGTCTCGTCAACCGACCTTGACCAATGGCAGATCCAGAGTGGTAGGGGGTGGGGGTTGCATGGGGCTATGCCCCCTGTCTCTTGGTGTGAGGGGCAATTAAATATCATGGTAAAGGGACAGCAAAATATTCATTTCGTATCCACCTAACCTTTATTTTCAAAAGCCCCAAAATTTCACGGGCACCACAAATGACCACAAATATTGATTTTCGATAGGCACTGAAATCCGAGTACACCATAACCGGCCCAAACTCTCCATTTTCCGAGGGCACCAAATTTCGAGGATGCAGCAGTATTGTGCCTCTTACCCTGACGAAATCCTGGATTGGCCCCATGGGCTAAGGAACACCGAAATGGTCAGTTGGACCACCATGACTTTCATTTCGCAGCACCATACGCTTTATTTTAAGAGGTCTCTATCTAAACGGGCAATTCAAATTTCTGAAAGCTTTGGTTTCAAACAGCGTTCAGAATCCACGGACATCAGAATATTTACGTCTTTTACTTTTGCAAAATTCTCGATCTGCCTGTTCCGCGAGGGAGCACCGAAGAATTTCATTGCGGAGTATCTTAGCTTTTATTTTTCAGAGGCACGCACTTCCTGAGGTACCACAAAGCAAGGACGGGTCCAGAGAGGGAGGGCCATGGAGTCATTCCCCTCCCCTTTGGGCCCAAGGAAGTTTGGATGCCCTGAAGGGGCACCAAATCTCATCGCAAAGAGGCAAAAATACCTTCATTTTGAAACCGCATAACCTATATTTTTAAAAGGGCCTTAACTCTTGATTCGGAAACAGCCATTAATTCCATGACCATAACTATGTTGAGCTTTCCGCCCTAATAAAATTCTGGATCGGACCTATGGGCAAGGAGGCACAAAAACCGCCCTTGCGGGGCGACATCATCTTGATTGCCAAAGGGTACTAAATCAAAGCGGGCCATTTACAAAGCCCAAAACCATAACTTAAAAGGGCATTTAAATTCAATAGCATTACAATCGGTGTGTTTTTCATTTTGGAAAATTTCTGGACCGGTTCGTTCAGGGAAGGGGCACCCTGCTCATGGAAACAGGCACCAACAGCCTCCGTTGTCATTGGGGCTTTAGGACGCGTCATCACAGTACGTGCCTCTCCAGTAACGAAATCCTGCATCGGCCCATTCGGCTAAGCGACACCTTTCTTTCGGACCACCACTACATTTATTTCCTTGAGACACCAAATGCAAGTGAGCGATTGAAAGAACAACTGAAGGTAGTCCAAAGCTTTCCTATCAAGGAACACCGAAATACAGGGGCACCACAACTGCCCTGCCTTATAATGTTGAAATCCTGGTTCGACTCTTGCGGTGGAAAGGCAACACGAATCTTGATTGCAGGGCATCATTATGTTTTTTATGAGCCCCTAATATAAACTGGAACACCGCAATCGGCCCAAACATTCATTCTAAGGCGATGCAGGATTCCAGGAGCGCTTTAAATGGCCCCTAAAGCTTTATTTTCGCGGGGAACCGAATTAAGCACTTCTTAATTAAAAAAAGCACTTCGACTCCCCCACTTCCCCTAAGCACGACTCCCACACCCCGACCTTAAGAGCCCGATACCAATATGAAGGGCCCCTGACCAACCGAGTATACCCTGGCATTTGGGGCCCAGGCAGCAGCGGCGGGGCCGGAGAGTCCGCTTACCCTGCGAGCGCAGCGGTCCCGCCGCGCCGCGGTCGAGCCCGCGCCGCCCGCCGTGTCTCCGGCCACGCCGCCGCCCGGCGCATCTGCGCCCAGTCCGCCGGTAAGCCCCGGGGCGCGGCCGCACCCAGGCCGGACACGGCCGCCAGACCCCTGGGTAACTAACAGTACCCATGTTTGACTGTACGCATCACGTGATCATCAGTGGAATACCAGGTTGACTGTGCCATCTGTTGACAAAAGAGGGAAATAGCGGCAGGACTTAAAAATGCTTCTATAGTGTTATCTAGCGGCAGGAATCCGAACTACCCTGGTTGTCATGGATATTGGACGTTTTGAACACTGGACTTTACGATTCTAAACTTCGCGACTCTGGACTTTGCGTCCCTGGACCTTATGAACACCCATTGGGTACGGAATTGGATGATCTCTGGACTTTACGAACACTGGATGCCGCGATCCTGGACGATATGAACACTGGACGCTGCGATCCTGCACTTTTTGATGGCTCCCGCGCCGACCCCCCCCCCCCCCCCCCCCCGATGTCTCCGGCCGCGCCGCCGCCCGGCGCGTATGCGCTCATTCCGCCGGTGAGCCCGAGGGCGCGGGTGCGCCCAGGCCGGACACGACGGCTAGGCGTCTAGGCAATTTATAGTAACCATGCTTCACTGTACGCATCACGTGATCATCAGTGGAATGCCAGGTTGACTGCGCCATCTGTTGACAAAAGAGGGAAATAACGGCACAACTCAAATATGCTTCTGTAGCGTTATCTAGCGGCAGGAATCCAAACTAGCCTGGTTACAGTGGATACTGGGCGTTTTGAATACTGGACTTAACGAATCTGGACGTTGCGTCCCTGGACCTGATGAACGCTCCCAATGGGCACACAATCGAACGCTTTCTGGACGTTATGAACGCTGGAGGCTGTGATCCCGGACGATATGAACACTGGACGCTGCGACCCTGGACGTTTTAATGGCTCCCCGGCACACACATCAATGGGTATTCGGCAGTCACGGGACTAGTCGACCAGCGCAAAGCAAATGTGCGTAGAAAACAGCAAGCATTTCCACCAGAGCTTACATCTGCTCCCAAGAGCAGCGGGCTGCACATCTTTGAATGAATAGTTGGATTGGCTAATGCCCATATCGCCTAGGTCACACTCAATCGCGACGAACATTTAGACATGCGTATGGCCATTCGGCAGCCTGGACCATGACAATGCGGGATAAAGCAGCAATGCAACTAATACATTAGAGGATGTGTGCACACATTGTTGTTTTGCAGCAGTCTCGACAGCGTGTGGTCAGCATGTTCATTTGGTCCATGCAGTGGAGCGCAATGCATGAACCGACTAATTTCATCACATGTGGTTTCATTGGTGAAAGCCGGCGTGAAGCAGAATTCTCAAGCTGGGCGTGCGGTAGCTGGCGATGAAAGTATCCGAGTATTTCGGAGAACATGTGGCACTAGCAATGCTGGGGCCCGAACCGGGGTCTTGATATTACGAGGCCAACAATCTGTCATTGACTTATCCGAACAGAATGTCGTGATACGTTCTGCACTTACTAACATCCTGGACGGGAACGATACTCTAAGCAATCGCTCTTTCGGCAACACTTATTATAGCATGCTGGTGAGATCAGTCATGTCAGATACAGTGAGGATCCAAAGCACTCCCTAGCCTTGTCAAGCCTTAACAAATACAGTTAAATGCACGTATACCTATGGTCCTCTCATTATTTCCATATTTTGCAAATTGCATGCAAAATTTCGGTTCGTTTCTATCTCTGGCTTCTGGCATCCTACGAAATCCATCAGGTATAGTGAGCCACGCCATTCAGACCTACAGCATGCGGCAGGCCTTTCCTGCTTTCTTGCCCTGTCTTGTGACCCCGTGGACCCAAAAGAAGCAACTGCACAGTGCATATCGAACTGGGGATGAAAGAGCATCAACTAGCTACCTTTTCACAAAGAACCTTCGTATGTCCATTGCAGAACACAACGACGAGAACACCAATCGACGACGGATCCGCCACAGGCAAATGCATTAACGTTTATAGGGCCTAGCCCTAGAAGTTGCTGTAGGGCGTTGAGCCTAACGTCTGCCAGCCGAGGGTTTGCCGCCGTTGCCAAGCAACGAATTTGTATATGCTGCGTCGTTAAAAAACCGCTGGCTGACAAGAGACTACCATTTTAGGAAAAGACGCGGTGAAAAACTTTACAGAAACACAATGTCGCCATCGTTCGTAATTGTGAGCTTCAGGTATGTTCCACCATTGCTGATTTCTCTACTCAGGCAGCGTATTACCGTTTTTGCTAATTTTTATTTGATCTCCCATGGGGGCAAAATGAGTTAACTGGTGGGGGGGGGGGGGGGGTCGGTCACTGCGGGGGGCATTTGCCCCCCCCCCGCCCCCCAACCCCCAGTTAACATGTTATCCGAGGCCCTGCACTGGTCAGCAGCTCTACAAGGCACATATAATTTTCTTTAATCAAAGATCCGCTTTACAATCTTCTGCAGCTATGTAAAGTTTGGCGCGGCTACGCCGCGCTGTTCCGAAATAATTCTGGAAAAACCTTCAGGGAGTCAATTTGACCACCACCCGAGCGCTTCATTAGTCTAAATTATTTGAGATAGGATGCATAATGTTCACGAGCTCGTCCCCCCTTAAAAATGTAAAGTTCCATCTCTGGGCATGGCTTTGAACTGCATTAATGATTTTCAAAATGGCTATCTCCGTTCAAAACCCCATACAAATATGGAGCACTCCCTTCAACTGAAGCAAGTGAAAACAATAGTAAAATTCCCCTTAGTGCCATTCGCATTGGATGACTTTTGCGTACTTTGGCACTCTGTGATGTGAAGATTGTTCCGCAGAATAAGCACACCATATGTGGATCGAGAACCCATGCATAAATTGCGTCCATTGGACCCAGGTCGAATCTTTCAACTTTGCAAAATTAATGCAGAGGGAGGATGGAAGGGCTGTCGAAAAGAGTTTAGCGTTTAAGTGAAACGCAATTAAGACAATGTTTTACCCATGCAACGACAATAACGTGGTGGTACATTTACGGTCGCAAGATATGTCAAATATTACTGATATGCTGAGCAATGCTGCGCACAAGAGATTTTTCCGCAAAAGAATATTCATCGCCTGTGTCACGTTCATCACATATCAAATGCAGTAGAACACAAAATATGTATTGCAGAACAAGCACTGACCAACATTTAGGAACAGTGCAAACATATGTTCCACTGGTTGACGTATACCTCAGCTTGTATTCTTGCTGTAAAGTCGATGTCCAGCCAGTCAGAAGTACTGAACTGGATTGTCTACTGAATCCCCATATCCTATTCGGGCTACCCCTATGGTCAGAGTATCACAGTGTCTGCGCTCTGTCTCCACCTCTGCTCGGAAACGGAAATATATCAATACTCTAAATTCGTAGCCTGGCTTGAGAGCAACAAAAAAGACTGTTAACGTGAAATGTAAAAAAACCGCTCCCACCACAAGTATTGTGCGGGGGAGACGCGACGCTGATAAAACCGTGCGAATGTGCCTAAGGCCAGTTATTAGAAGACTAAGTACAAAGACATTGCATAATACTTTAGTCTACGAAGCCTAAAGGCAACGCTTTTGGAAATTCTAACCCCATTTACGCACAACAGGGAGTTCTTAACTACTGTGCGCAAGCCCATAACGGCGAATGGAGACCGACCATAACTGACATGAATCCTTGACAGCCTCCGGGGATCCATGAAACGATGTCTGAGTGAGCGATACATGCGAGCATTCTCATCCTCAACACGGGCGGGCAGACCGAGGAATCACAGAGCGAGATCGGGGTGCCGTCAATGTCGCTAGATGGTCCACACCTGCACCTTCTCCGCCACCACGCACCAATTGGCGTGATCGTAGTACGACGAGATAATATGCAGGTTGTCCACGTACTTCTCGATCAGCCGGTCCAGTTCGCCTTCGCGGAACACGTGGTAGTAGCGATGGTGGCCGAGCGCGCCGCCCACGTCCGACGGCAGAGACTCCTCCGAGGACGCCTGACGGCTGCCCGGTCCCTCTTCCTCCTCGCCCGCCGCCGTCGCCTTTGCCGTCGCCTTTGCCGTCGCTGCCGTCGACGTCGCCGTCGCCGCCGCCGCCGCCGCCGCCGCCGCCGCCGCCGCCGCCGCCTCCGCGCGATCAAAGATGTGCTGCGCTGTGAGCGCCGGCCGGGCGCAGCGCGCCGTCTCGCTGTCGGAGATGGCCGTACCGGAGGCCGAGCCGTCGGTGCTGCTCGGCCGCTCAGGGCCGCTCGACTCGCCCAGACTGGCCGTCCGCGAGGCTTCCGACGTCGACAGACTGGAGGCAGAGCTGAGGCTGGAAGCCAGCGAGGTGCGCCACTCACTCGGCTCGACCGCGCGCCGGCGGCCGGCGCCGGCGCGCGCCGCCGCCTCAGGTTCGGCCTCCTCCAGCACCTGCTCGAGCGGCGGCGCATCCAGCCGCGCCATCGTCACCTTGCGGCGGCCGCGCGGACTACTGAGCCGCGCCGGCGGCTCCGGAGAGCTGCTCAGGCTGTCGTCCGTCTCGGAGGGCGCCGCCAGGTGGGAGGCCGACGCGGGCCCGGGGCCGGACTCTGCCAGCGCTCCCGCCGCCGCCGGCGCTGCGCCGTTCGCTGGGGAGGAGGACAGGAAGTGAGGCATCGGTGTCAGCAATTACACCAAAAGCCAACGCTCGCCGAGCGGTGGAAGAGGAGTCTAGAAACAACAGCAGTCTAGCCATGCCATTAAGGCATACTGATCATCAACACCAAACCAGATCTGTTTCCTTCGCATTGAGCTTGAAGAACGCTTGGCCTTAGCCTTTTATGACGGAATGACATCAACGCCAGTGGATGGAAACGGAAGCCGCTGCGACCTGCGCGTCGCCGGACTGACGGTGGCCCGGCGGACGTGCCACCAACCCGTCAGCGCTCATTGTCTTCTGATTGAGCACTGACCACAACCGGCCGCTCCGTGGTCGCCAACATGTGCAGAATACGTGGATGAATTAGGAAACTCGACTGGTCATTGGCTCTGCTCACTATCCGTCTCGCAGGCCAGGGTATTCAGCGTTTGTACATTGGGAACTTGCTACTTGGGTCACACAACCCTGGTTGCAACACCCGTCTGTACTCTGCTTCGTCAAGCCAAACCCCCTCCCTGCTGAAATTTTGCCCGCGAGCACGCGCGTTCTTGGTGGAGCGCCTCACCTTGTGGCAGGGCACACCGGATCCCAACTTCTGCACCGCACGAGTGCAGCGCGCTCACCTGTCTCCCGCTCGCTGAGGCGGTCTCGCTGCTGCTGCTCGATCTCGCGGTCCAGCTCCTGGATCTCTTGCGCCGAGGGCCAGTCGGAGGCCATGCTGATGACGCTGCAAGCGCTGCTGGGGCTGCTGGCGCTGCTACTGGCGCACGAGCTCTCGCTGTCCAGGTCATCCGTCTCCGGGTTAAACACCTCAAACGTGAGATACTTGGGCGCGGCCCGGCGCACGATCTGCACGTTGCGAAAGCCCTGCACGCCAGGCCGCCGGATGATCTCGATGTTTTCGCCCATGATGAGCGACGACACTTGGCTGCTGACGCCGGCCGGCCGCGCCGCGCCCAGCCCGCCGCCACCGCTGCCGCTGCCGCTGCTGCCGCTGCCGCTGCCGCTGCCGCTGCCGCTGCCGCCGCCGCCGCCGCCGCCGCCGCTGCCGCCGCCGCCGCCGCTGCCGCCGCTGCCGCCGCTGCCGCCGCCGCCGCCGCCATCGCTCGGCTCCGGCCGGAACTGGAAGCTGCTGGCGTCGGTCCGTGCCGGCGCTGGGGATGGCGGCTGAACGGCGCCGGCCGACAGCGCGGCAGCACGGCCTCGCGACGGTGAAGTGCGCACGCCGCCGCAGGTGGCGCCACTGCTCGTCACCACGTCTGGCAGGGGGCCGTGCTTCGCCGGTGCGCTGGCGTCCGGCGTCGGGGCACTCTCATCGGCCGGTGGTGCGGCGACAGCGGGACAGCCTCCGGCCGGCAGCTGGCCGAGTGTTTCCGTCTGTGGCACCACCAGCTCAGCAGTGACATCGACCGGCGACGGTGACGGCGCCGGCGGACCTACCGCCTCCGACTCAGACGCCGGCACCACGCCCAGCGGCGGGTCCATCAACTGGAACCGGCCCTGAAGGTGGCTCTGCAAGACCTGCGCGCCCAGCTTGGGAAGGCTCTTGAGGGTGTTGATTCGGATCGGCGCCGCCGGCAGCCGGGTGGGCGAGGAGGGCAGGGTGCCGGTCAGCGGCGATTTGGGCGACACCTTACCGTTGGAGCCGTCCGACGACTCGCTGGAGGCGGAGCGGCTGCGCTCCTTGGCCTCCACCTCGGCAGCGTCCAGTTTCGGCACGTATATGACGGAGACGCAGCTGTCCTCAGAGTCGAGGCTGGTGTCGCTCTGGAAGCTGTTCTCCTTGGAGCTGTCCGAGCTTTCCTCGCGCGAGGTTTTCCGTTCGCGAGAGCAGTAGCGGTATAGCGTTCTTCTGTCGGCGCGCGTGCATGTGGCTCCACCGGGCAGCGCGGCGGCCGGCGCCCTGGAGCTCGACTCCACTGGCGGGTTCTCCAGTCTCTCCGCCACGCTCTTGAGCGCCATCTCGGCGGCCAGTCCGTTACAGGGCGCCGCCAGCATCACAGCGGGCGGCTGCTGGGCCTCCGGGGGCGGACCCTGAACCCCTTCCTCGTCGCACGCGTCCGGGCGCAGCGCTGTACCGTCCGTCAGCTGGCGCACGATCTTAACCAAACCATTCTTGAGCGCGGACGTCGGCTGGTCCTTGTCGGCCAGCTTCTCCAGGCTCTCGCTCAGCTTGCCCAAGTTGTCGCGCAGCGCGCGCAGACGGCTGTAGTTGGCGAAGTGAGCCGGCTTCGGCACCTCCTGGCTGCCGGCCATCTTGCCGTAAATGACGTTCTCGTTGAGGCTTTGCTGCTTGCGGATTTTGGCGCGGATCTGGTCGCGCTCACCCGTCCGATCGCGACGCATCAGATTCTCGTTGAGCGACGCCTGCTTGAGTATACCGCGCACCGGCCGACCGACCGAGGGCGTCTCCTCGCTGAGCACGCGCGGCACGCCCGACTCGTCCGCCAATCGTCGCTGTCGCACCAGCGACGGCTTCGGCGCCGCCGGCTCGACCGTCTCCTCGCGCACATCGTTCTCCGGCACGGTGGTCAGTGGCGCCTTCAGGAGCTCACATGAGCGCACGCGCGAGTCCAGCACGCTGTCGCTCTTCGACTTCTCGCCAATGACGGTGAGCGCGAGCTTCTCGCGCGGCAGCGTCAGCGACTGGGTGGAGAAGGTGACGGACTTGCGGCTGCCCTTCTTGGCCGCCTGCTGCTGCAGCAGCGCCGAGCTGCTGCTGTGAGATCGCTCCATGCTGACCGCCGTCGCCTCGTCGAACGCGAAGCTGCGCGGTCGGTCGGCTGGCGGCCGCGTCGCATCGCCGCGCCGCGCGCCCAGGATCGAGGCCGACAGCAGGCTCCACATGTCGCCGACACTGCGCGACTTGAAGGTGCCCAGCGGCTGGGCGGCGCCGGCCGCCGGCGCGTCGCAGCCCAGAGTGTTGCGCCGGCGAGGCGCTTCCTCCAGACCCGTGACGTCATCATCCAGCCGGATCTCGATCAGCTGGCTGCCGTCGGTCGCGTCGCCGGACTTGGTCGGCTTCATCTCCGAGTAGCTGGTCCAGGGCGAGAGGATCCAGGGCCGCGAGCCGTCCACCTCCCCGCGACGGGCCAGCTTCTGCAGGCGTTGGCGGCAAGTCACTGGGCCAGCCACGGCTGCATTATGACAGAGATGCATCGGACGGCGGATTGGAGCGAACGGAGCGCATTGGTAAGACAAATGAGACTCATCCAGGTCATGAAAACCTATGCCTGATTTGAAGACACTTCTAGGTTACTATTCCTGATGTTTCGCATACCGCTTCTCTCTAGCGGTGAACGTGAAGCATGGCCAACTATGAAAAGGTTACCAAAAATGAGCGACCAGCATTTACCACATCCTCACTAAAAACAAGTCCACAAAAAGTAGCAGGCACGACAACGGTAAGTACGACGGAAAATAAGTCTTCTCCTTGCTACAATGGCGGCCTCGGCGGCGACCAGCGACCTGCAGCGCCCGACGGACGAAGCTGTAGCACGACTCGCTGGGCGACGAGAGGCCCGACGAGCTTTGCGACGAGCTGGCCATGGTCGGGTCGATTGAGCGGATCCTCCGCGGCCGCCGGCCCGTCCGCCGCACGTGAAACCTGGCGCACAGCGGCCCATGTCGGCGTGGCAACCGGCGGCCGACGGGTTTCGGCGGCGTTTGTGGAGTCAATTTGATAAAAATCGAGGACATTACAGGACCACTTTCACAAAGTCCAGACTGATGAGACATTAGCGCACAGACAGAGTACGGCTCACGTCTAAATGTTCACGAAATGTTCGCGGACGGAACATCCGTGTCTCTCGTACGGATTTTCCCCGCAAAGGCAGCTGCCAATAGATCTGTTAAGTCGCTCTGTGCATTACGCCATAATGTCAGTAGTTTAGAACCGCGTTAAAGACTGGGATTTGCGGCACGCTATCTCAGCAGGTATGCTTACCACACACAACAATGACTGATGAATATCGCGCTCACGTGCAGAATCCGACTCCTGGAATCTGACCGCCGCGGTCTTTCCAGATGCCCCTAAGTGCGCTGCAACGAGGCACCCTGGCAGGTGACTCAGCAGAAGTAGAGGGGGGGGGGGGGGGAGGGGCGCCTAGCAGTACCGGTACAGTCATCTGCGGCCAGGTCCGAGTGCAGCTCACCTGGTCGACCTTGACGAGTCGCTGTCGCTGGTATGCGTGAAGGCGCTGTAGTTGAGCAGGTCGTCGTCCGATGTGGTAGAGATGGCCTCCGGCTCGACCACGGAAGGCACCTCCTCGCTGGCGCTGGTTTGCTGCTGATTCCACGGCACCAGCACGTCCTGGCTCTCGAACTGTGGCACGCCCGGCCCGTGGCCCTCACTGACACTTCTCGGTCACGATACCAGTGCAACCACTGGAGCTTTAAGGTTAACCCGGACATGGATGATATCACCTCACAGACAGCGCAATACAGCGAACAGCAATGCTCGAATAAAGGGATCGAGCGTCTCCAACGCTGACGTAGCGCTCAGCTGATCATGCATGCCACGCTGTCATCATCGCACGCATGGGTCAAGTTGCAAAAAAACAAGTTTGGATTGGATATTTGCGACCTCTCAGTCTCTCCGCCTTCACCCGCTCGACGCCCGATCAGGTGCAACGCGAGTCAGCAAGCCACCCACTCACATGACGCTTGCAGCAGCTCTCAGCGGCACGCTGTTTGCCAATGCATAATGCATAGCTTAAACACCGGTGCAACAGAGTGCATCAACGCAATGCGCAGACACACCAACAGAGCCGCGACAGAACACATGACTTAGTCACCTTACAGCTCATACTGCCGGCGCAGTGAGCAGCAGCCGCATTGCACAGACTCGCCGAGCGTCTCAGTACGGCTGCTGACCGTACGGCGGTGTGGCGTTCGGAGGGCGCCGGGCCGTACCTTTCTGGTGCGCTGCTCCATGGCCCAGACGGTGACGATTAGCCTGCCGCCGATGCGGAGCACCCTGGCCAGCTCGCGGAGGGCGCGCACCCGCCGCTCGGTGGTGGCCAGGTGATGGATCACGGCCACCGAGACGGCCGCGTCCGCCGACTCGTCCCGGAACGGCAGGCCCAGCGCGTCACACACCAACACCTGGCGGACACAGTGACGGTGTGTCACACACCAACACCTGGCGGACACAGTCACAGTGTGTCACACACCACCACCTGGCGGGCACAGTGACGGTGTGTCACACACCACCACCTGGCGGACACAGTGACGGTGCATCACACACCAACACCTGGCGGACACAGTGACGGTGTGTCACACACCACCACCTGGCGGGCACAGTCACAGTGTGTCACACACCACCACCTGGCGGACACAGTGACGGTGCATCACACACCACCACCTGGCGGACACAGTGACGGTGTGTCACACACCACCACCTGGCGGACACAATGACGGTGTGTCACACACCACCACCTGGCGGACACAGTGACGGTGCATCACACACCAACACCTGGCGGACACAGTGACGGTGTGTCACATACCACCACCCGGCGGACACAGTGACGGTGTGTCACACACCACCACCTGGCGGACACAGTGACGGTGTGTCACACACCAACACCTGGCAGACACAGTGACGGTGTGTCACACACCACCACCTGGCGGACACAGTGACGGTGTGTCACACACCACCACCTGGCGGACACAGTGACGGTGTGTCACACACCAACACCTGGCGGACACAGTGACGGTGTGTCACACACCACCACCTGGCGGACACAGTGACGGTGTGTCACACACCACCACCTGGCGGGCACAGTGACGGTGTGTCACACACCACCACCTGGCGGACACAGTGACGGTGCATCACACACCACCACCTGGCAGACACAGTGACGGTGCATCACACACCACCACCTGGCGGACACAGTGACGGTGCATCACACACCAACACCTGGCGGACACAGTGACGGTGCATCACACACCACCACCTGGCAGACACAGTGACGGTGTGTCACACACCACCACCTGGCGGACACAGTGACGGTGCATCACACACCAACACCTGGCGGACACAGTGACGGTGCATCACACACCAACACCTGGCGGACACAGTGACGGTGTGTCACACACCAACACCTGGCGGACACAGTGACGGTGTGTCACACACCAACACCTGGCGGACACAGTGACGGTGCATCACACACCAACACCTGGCGGACACAGTGACGGTGTGTCACACACCAACACCTGGCAGACACAGTGACGGTGTGTCACACACCAACACCTGGCGGACACAGTGACGGTGTGTCACACACCAACACCTGGCAGACACAGTGACGGTGTGTCACACACCAACACCTGGCAGACACAGTGACGGTGCATCACACACCAACACCTGGCGGACACAGTGACGGTGCATCACACACCAACACCTGGCGGACACAGTGACGGTGTGTCACACACCAACACCTGGCGGACACAGTGACGGTGTGTCACACACCAACACCTGGCGGACACAGTGACGGTGTGTCACACACCACCACCTGGCGGACACAGTGACGGTGTGTCACACACCAACACCTGGCGGACACAGTGACGGTGCATCACACACCACCACCTGGCAGACACAGTGACGGTGCATCACACACCAACACCTGGCGGACACAGTGACGGTGTGTCACACACCACCACCTGGCGGACACAGTGACGGTGTGTCACACACCAACACCTGGCAGACACAGTGACGGTGCATCACACACCAACACCTGGCGGACACGTGACGGTGAATCACACACCAACACCTGGCGGACACAGTGACGGTGTGTCCACACCAACACCTGGCGGACACAGTGACGGTGTGTCACACACCAACACCTGCGGACACAGTGACGGTGCATCACACACCAACACCTGGCGGACACAGGACGGTGCATCACACACCACCTGGCAGACACAGTGACGGTGCATCACACACCAACACCTGGCGGACACAGTGACGGTGTGTCACACACCACCACCTGGCGGACACAGGACGGTGCATCACACACCAACACCTGGCGGACACAGTGACGGTGTGTCACACACCACACCTGGCGGACACAGTGACGGTGCATCACCACACCAACACCTGGCGGACACAGTGACGGTGCATCACACACCACCCCTGGCGGACACAGTGACGGTGTGTCACACCACCACCTGGCGGACACAGTGACGGTGTGTCACACACCCACCTGGCAGACACAGTGACGGTTGCATCACACACCAACACCTGGCGGACACAGTGACGGTGTGTCACACACCACCACCTGGCGGACACAGTGACGTGTGCATCACCACACAACACCTGGCGGACACAGTGACGGTGCATCACACCCACCACCTGGCGGACACAGTGACGGTGTGTCACACACCACCACCTGGCGGACACAGTGACGGTGTGTCACACGCCCCCACCTGGCGGACACAGTGACGGTGTGTCGTACACCACCACCTGGCAGACACAGTGACGGTGCGTCACACACCACCACCTGGCGGACACAGTGACGGTGTGTCACACGCCCCCACCTGGCGGGCACAGGCACAGTGTGTCACACACCACCACCTGGCAGACACAGTGACGGTGTGTCACACGTCACCACCTGGCGGATAAAGTCACAGTGAATCACGCGCCCCCACCTAGCGGGCACAGATACAGTGTGTCACACACCACCACCTGGCGGACACAGTCACAGTGCGTCACATGCCCCCACGTAGCGGGCACAACTACAGTGCGTCACACACCACCACCTGGCAGACACAGTCACAGCGCGTCACACACCAACATCTGGCAGACACAGTGACGGTGTGTCACGCACCACCACCTGGCGGACACAGTCACAGTGTGTCACACGCCCCCACCTAGCGGGCACAGTTACGGTGCGTTACACACCGCCATCTGGCCCCGCACAGGGTTTTGCACACATGCAGCTAAGTCATAATCTCATAGGCCGCCATCCGTTGATTACAAAGTGTTAGGCATAACAACAATAGCTTGCTGTGATGAGCACCACCTGCTGTGGACCTGATCACAGCTCCGAGCTCGGGTCACAGTCACAGCCACAGCGAGCCGAAGGTCCGTCACGAGACGCTCGCACAGGGAGCCGGCCTGTCAGTGCAGACCTGGGATTTTCCAGAGCGCAGTGTTGAGGGGGCCCAGGCGGTTTCATAGCGGGGCTCACACTAGATTGCGGTTGACCGCTGGCACGCCAAGTGACATTAGTCATGAGACTCATATTGGGGCCATCCATGTTGCGCACGTGGTCATTCCAGTACATCACCAAAGTATAAGCGCAACGTAACAGGAAGGGGCAAGTGCGGAAGCATATGCATACGAAGTAAAAGACATGCACGGTGTGTTACCAATCCGATCCAACTAACCACAGCCGCATAACCTTTCCTCATATGCGGATGTGACGCGCTATGAGTCTGTCAGAAGGAATCCAGCTGGAGGTGCCCCAGCTCCGGTGGCAGCACCTGGTACAATGGAGCCGCCCGGCTGGTCCAGGTCAGTCTACAACTTCATCACATGGACGCAACCTTCCAGGCTCGCACAACGCTCGTGAGTCTCAAGACCTGCCACCAACTGGCAGCCAAGCACCTCGGACTGCCGAGGCCAAAGCTCTGTGCTTCAGAGAGACAGTGTGATCGCGCCAGCCCTCCAGCGGTGAACCAGTCGAGATCCTGAAGCAGCTCCGGTACATTTCCGGGTGTTTTGGGTGTTCCCGTGAAAGGTTATGCAATGAAGCAGTTACGTAAGGTCCCGGAGATCACAGTCCTTAGGTCACAGAGGATGGCAAATAGCTTCGCAGATGTGAACGACCGGAAACTAACCTAAAAAACATGTCATGTAACAAGAGATCTGTGGGAATTTCACGTGAGAACGCCTTGGAAACCAGACTGATTTGTTCATCTCCGAGCAAGGGCGAAGGTCGGGCCACGACATGAAGCTGCATATCTGAGAACGTTGCGCAGTTGTGGACTGCTGCCGAGCAACACAGGCTGTGCTTTGCATGCATTTACTTCAAGGCCGTACACGCAGAACCAGATAACCGTAGAGACCAAGATATATTCACGTGGACCACACGGCTCAGCAGCCTGGTCCCAGCTGTAGTATTGGCAAACCCAGCCCTCAGTTCGCAGTTCCAGAAGTGACCAGTCAAAAGCCATGAGCAATGAAATTACAGTGACGTCACCGGTCACCAGTCACCACCGCCACCATAGTTTCTTGGTACGCAACAAACGCATGTAATGAATATGAGTGTCAACCTGAGCGCTCATTTCGTTGCACTTCTGTCGCTGACTCGCCGGTTGCGCAAAACATCTTCCACTCGCGGCAACCATACGCATGACCAAGCAAACACCTTCGTGCGACACCCCACATGTAACCAGTCTCATGAAGAGAGAATGGCGTACAATTGTGGCGTAGTAAGCAGGGTCTTAAAGTTTTGTAAATCGTGGGTAGGGGGGGGGGGGGGGGGGGCGAACCGATGGCCCGACAACCTACACCCCTCCCATTTTTTTTCACTGAATTTGGCCCACTTTATTTTGATTAAACGCAATTTATGCTTTTTACCTTTGTATTATGTATACAAATATTTAATCCAAGCGGTACAGAAGCCATGCAGGGTTGAATCCAAGGAGCAGGCACTCGACGCACGCGTCTCTCCTGATCGGCACGAGAAGGCGCCCTTTTCTGGCCACCTTGGAGAGCCGGTGGCGCTCTCCCATGACAGTCATAGGGGGCGGCACGCATTTTAGTTGTGGGGGACGGGGACGGGGCTAGCCACGAAGCGCTTAGGTCATTCCCATATTCCACAGCTTCTCGCTTTATCCTCACAAATGTGTCTTGTGGCGCTTGGTATGTGAAGTTTATTGCATCTTTTATCCGCTCAGCTGTATCCCACAACGATTTCTATCTTGTGGTGAGGCAACCATGCTTTTTGTTATAAGAGTGGTACTAGGCGCCACTACGCAGAAAGATCAAAGAAGATAGTGTTTGCGTTATGATCATCTTTTACCAACGTTTCTTTGTAGCATTCCAGCCAAAAACTGGGGGCCAAGCCAACATGGGAGGGGGAGGGTCAGGGAGGGCCCCCCACAAAGGAATGCAAACCGACACCCATGATAGGAAGTAACTTCTCAAGCTTTTACTTCAAATCTAGTTGCGTAGGGTAAAAGGCCACCAATTAAACGCCGGTAAATTCTTGTATTTAAGGGACATCTGAAGTAGGAAGTTACTCCTTTCTCAGTAACTTCTCAAGCTTTTACTATGAATCCGGTTGCGTTAAGTAAGGAATAACTATGAACTTCTACGCCATAAACTTCTACTTTTTACGGAGACTTTGCAAGTAAGGAGTTACTCCGCACTTCACCAGGCATCCATCGGGCTTCACAAATGCAGCTGGTTTGACCAGGGAGTAGACATTCACTACAAAATTGAAGTAAAATAAAAGATGGTCTAGCCCGTCGTCAAATCATCAATGGTGATCATAGAGGAGGCGGAGCATGACCAAGCACGAGCGGAGGAACAGGCCATTTGGACCGAAAATCAGCCTGCTTTGAGAAATTGCTAAACTACGAAGCGATGCCGACATACGGGTGGACGACTACGCATATATGAGAAATTCAATGCAACTGCACTTCGCATAGTAGTTGATGGGCATCAGAAACAGAAGTACTGAGGAGGATAATGCTGGCACGCTATTGTGAAAACCAACCTCCTTCCCACTTGTCGCGGATTTCTCGAGATCATGTTTTTCTTTCCTGCTATGACGCGAACACACATGATATAAGTTCACAAAATACCCCACCTAGGGTAAGAATAAGGTAAGCTATTTCAGGCAGATTTTGTCTTTGATGTGCATGTTGCCGTCATAACTAGCACGGGAAGGAGACCCCAGAGTGTGAGTACAGGAGACATAAACAGCTTTATTTACTTCTGCGAGTAGCGGAGCAGTATTGACAATTATAAGACGTCTGCATTTCAGCGAATGACAAAAGAGATCGCATTTAGTCCATGAACTACTCGTCACACAAATCACAAATTAATTATTTACTTCATCCGTAAATGACCCCACTCTTTATATCACCCTCGCGGTATTTCTGCGTTTATCTTAGGCATCTTAAACCTCGTCAGGCCCGAGGTTTAAAAAACGCAGTCAGGCTCACCGTTCTCGCATTGGCTGCCGCCGGTATCTGTGTCATCAGTCCGAACAGGCCAACGGCTCCCGAGCCCGGCAAGTAGTCAAGCAGTCAATCTGAATGTCCCAGCTGAGCTCGGTCGCACATATTGCCATGCATTAGTTGCGAATCGTGAAAATTGGTGCGCCGTTTTAAAAGCAGACCTCAGGTGCAATGCCGGAAAACGACTCCCGCTGTGACCTCAGCAGCCTCCATGCAGAGCCCGAACCACGCGTTCCAAGATGACCCCCGTGACCTCAGCACGCTCCACACACAGTTAAGCTCATGCGTTCCAGGGTGGCCGCTGAGGCCTGGCAGGCTTCATACAGTCTGGGACACACGTCTCGCTATGACCTCAGCAGGCGCTCCATACAGATCGCAGGCCACGCGTCCCAAGGCGGCCGCTGTGACCTCGGCGGACTCCATACACAATTCAGGTCACTCGTTCCAAGGTGGTATAGGTCAAACACACAGTCTAGCCAACGCGTCTCAAAAAGACTGTTGCCATCCCAACGGGCTCCACACACGGGTCGATTGCTACGTCATAGAGCAGCCGGCAGCCCGTCCCCCTCTGCTATTAGTTTAAACCAGTGAGAACGGAAGTCGCTACGTCTCGGTCCCTCTCAGTCCCAGACTCCCAACACGATGTGACACTCCTCAAACAGCTCCATGCCGACATCGGGGCGCCCCTGCGGAACCGGCTAGAGTAGCCAGATCCCAAACCAGGCACCCCAGGGTTGACACCGGCGCCATGCCTAGCACAGCTATATACGACATGCAAGACCGCTCACGCTTCAATACGAGGTACTCGCGCTTCCTCATTCCTTTCACAAGACGACTGTGCATTTACTCTTGCCACAGCAGGACTGTGTGTAGCCTCTCTGGCATTTGAAACATATTACATCACAGCCAACATCAAGTAAGCGCACAGGTAGTTGCTCACTTTATTCTTGCCCTACGTCATGTATTTTGTGAGCGTATATCATGTCTCACGAAAAAGAGAGTCATATATTTGTCACATGTTTCTTTTCTTGAAAAAACGTGACATAAGAACTGTACAAATTAAAAACAATATTCAGACATCCGCGACATTCCGGAAAGAGATAGGTTTTCATACCGACCTGCCAGCTTCATCCATCACTCTTCTTGGCACATGTTTGTGATGCTTACAAAGTTACAGCACGAATTGCAGCTATATTGATTTTCTCACATATCCGCACAGGTGCCCCTACGTACAAAGTCTGCCCTCGATATGATGACATCGCCTTATAGCTCAACAATTTCTCACTGCAGGTTTATTGTCAGTCTAAATGTTCCTTCGCTTCCGCATGGCCATGTGCCAGTCCCTCTATGATCACCACTTCTGATTTTACATCGGGCCAGGGCATCGTTTCGTTTTATAACTCCTTACTTCGGGTTTCCCTGTACATAGTAGAATGTGATGGGCGCAGGAGTGCATAGTTACCCCCTTACTTCATGCAACCGGATTGGAAGCAAATGCTTGGAAGGTCACTCTCTAGCAAAAGCTGTATGCAGTCCTCTTTATGGATCTGAAGTAAGGAATCACTCCATAGCTCACCAACCATCTATCGGGTTTCAAAAACGCAGCTGATTTGACCGCGGAGCAGACATCCACTCCGAAACTGAAGCCAAATAAAAACGTGCTCCGGCTCGTCGTAAAATTAGCAGTGATGATCATAGAGGTGCTGACGCATGGCCGGAGCAGCGGAGGAATACAGCATTCAGACCAAAAAATCACCATTCAGTGAGCAACCGTTGAGTTATGAAGCGATGCCAGCACATTAAGGGCGGACGTGTACGTCTACGTGAGGAAATAAGTACAGTTGCAATTCGTATTGTAGCTTTGTAGGCATCACAAACATATGCCATAAACTGTGGTGGATAAAGCTGGCAGACCGCCCTGAAACCTACCTCTTCCCCACGTATACCGGATTTCACGAGATCATGTCTTTTTTCTTGCTATCACTCGGACAGACATGATATAACTTTACCAAATGTACATTCTGAGGTAAGGAAAGTCAGCTTTTTCACAGAACTTTCGTCGTCGAAGTGTATATTGCCTTCACACGTAGTACAGGAAAGCTCAGAGCATGAACACACGGGGCAAGCGACTTTGTTTGCTTCTACGAGAAACGGAACAATATCGACAATTATACACCTGCATATCAGCGAAAGAAAAAAGTGATGGCAATTAGACTTTCAATCAATCGTCACGCAGATCACAAGTTTATCCATGAGTTAAGCAGTAAATGTCCACACCTTTTATGCCAGCTTAGTGATGTTTTTTATCTACTATAGGCATCCAAATCTCTCGGGCCCAAATCGACGACATCGTTGCCACGGCAACGTCCGCTTGTACCGCCATTAAGATCACTCCAGCCTCGGAATTTTCCGATTTACTTCGTAGGGGCACCGCCAAGTTTATGAAACCGGCGTAGGAAGCACGGAGTTACGCGGAAATTACATTGGCCGGCCTGATGAAAGGATAAATTTATCTTTATATAGCTGGTTACTGGCGGCCATCACGCAACAACCATGGGCCCTCCCATGACCCTGCAGCGGAATAACACCCCGGCTTCCCAAAAGCAGACAACCGTGTTGACAACCGAGCTTCGCTCTGCGCTGCTAATATGGCCGGTGTTCCGGCTCCGGTTGATCTCGCTGACGGACGAGCTGATCCGCCGCCGACCGGCAGATCAGTTGTTTCCGTCGCAAGCCGATCTGCAGATCGCCGCAAGCCGATTTGCAGATCGGCTTACGACGACGACCAGCACAGCAGCACTGTCGCTAGTGTTAGGTCACGAGTCGGCCATTTACAGATCTGTCATAGCGCCGCAGACGATAAGCGGAGAAATTTTCAGCGGATTAACTACCTCTGCTGGCATGGGAAACACCTCAGGGGTGCAAGGTAATGAGAAGCGACTCAGACGATCGTACTGGCCCTGTCTGGCGCCCGCTATGCTTTCCAATTGGTGCTCATGGACGCTAAGAGACAGTATGCACTTCACCGTCCTCGGAGAAGCCAGCACTAGGAGTGCATCGCACTCGCTGATGAGACCCAGCGGCGGCTTATGATTTTTACGGATCACAACTGACCACCCTAACAAAGAATAACTTAAGTTCTTGACAGAAGCATGAGCGCCAAGGCATGTCTGTTCGTCTGACTGCATCTTTGCTCTGTCCGGCTCAGTGACCGCCCTCCGAAAAAGACAAAGAAGGCACTGGACGCTTCACCTGCTGAGCCCGTTGATCGGAAGCAGCGCCAATACGTGCAGGGTAAATACCCATGGTATATATCACCCGTAGGGCCAATGCCCGAACGATGTTGTTGTGAAGCGCCGCCCTCGCCGTCGTGACATGCCAATGCGATCGGCGATCTGTAATCAGAGCTCGCCAAACAGGTATATCCAGCAGAAAACGCCTCAGCTCGACTGAATACCTTGCTCTCGGCCGTAACCCATGACTGAATACCTCGCTCTCGGCCGTAACCCATGACTGAATATATTGCTCTCGGCCGTAACCCATGACTGAATATC